AAGAAAGAACTGGTTAATATATACTACAATCAATACAGTAAGTGTAAAGGAAAAGGGTTATGATGGCAATACTGGAGCACAGGCAAAGAAGAGTTAGCCCAGCAGGGAGGAGAAGGCAGGGTAGCTCATTAAATAAGTGATTGAGCTGATTCTTCAACGTTAAGTGGGTGTTAGGCAGAAAGAGTATGGCGTAAGGAGTGGGATTTACAGGCGGAGTTAGGAAGATGTAGAAAACACAGAGATGAGAGACACCATTGCACCTTGGATGGGGGAAGAGTAAAGCTGGGTGAACAGAAGTATGGAATATAGAATTTTATGCTGATGGTACTCTAGAATCACTGAATGGTAATAGGCAAAGACAGGACATGGTCAAATATATATATTCTATGAAGATAATTCTCTGGACAATCTGAGAGACTGAAGGAGGGGAACACCATTTAGATGACTGTAATAACCTAGGTGAGAAATATTGACTATTGGAAAATATAAAGAGGGATATATTTAAGTGATAATAGGGAGCAAAAATTGATTTGTTGATAAAATGGAAAGCCAAAAATAGAGGAGAGGGAAGACTTTAGAATTATCCCTAGGATGGCAGGATCAATCACTCATAAGAAATATAAGAGGGGAAAACAAGGGCAAGTGGAAAGTTAAGCTCCTTTCTGGTTAAGCTCCTTTCTGGTTGTGTGGAGTTTGAGGAGCCAATAAAGCATGCAGGTAGAGAAACCTCATCAGGAATAGGTACCCAGTAGGAGAGAGATTTGGGTTGTAGCTCTAAATTTTGGAATCACAGAGATGGACACTCAAGACATGGGAATGAAAAAGCTGGCCCAGGTACACTGTGTGGAATGAAAAGAGATCTTGAGATGCAACTTTTTTTTTATTTTTATTTTTTTAGATTTATTTACTTTTGAGAGACAGAGAGAGACAGAGTGCAAGTTGGGGAGGAGCAGAGAATGAGATACAGAATCTGAAGGAGGCTCCAGGCTCCAAGCTGTCAGCACAGAGCCCGATGGGGGGCTTAAACTCAGAGACCATGAGATCATGACCTGAACCGAAGTTGGATGTTGAACCGACTGAGCCACCCAGGTGCCCTAAGATGCTACTATTAATATAAGGTAGCAAATGAGGAAGAATTGTCCATGGAAGGGCCTAAAAAGGAGCATTCAGATTGGTAAGATGAATATCAAGAGAGAATAAGTCAGGAAAAGAAAAAGAGAAATTCCAAAGGCGGAAGAGTCAATGGTCTGAATGCTGCAGTGACATAAAGGCCACGATGTGTGATTAGTGTTTGGCAACAAAAAAGTCATCTATAACCTCAGTGAGTAGTTTCAGTGGAGTAGTGAATATGAAAGCTGGTATTGCAGTAGATTAATGCACTATTAGATGCACTTACAGAAGAAAAGAATGTAGAGACAAGTATAGATCATTTTCTCAAAAAGCCTGGCTATAAAGAGAAGAAAAAAGGCGGAATAGGTTCGAGAAATGTCAAACGAACCCAGAGAGAGTTCTTTTCACTTCTTAAGATGAGAAACACTTGATTGTCTTGATGTGAAGGAGAAAAGATTCTACCTCAGCGAAATAAATAAAAGAGAAATAGAAAGGTGGGGGGACGGGAATCTTTGCATGTACCTTACTATTATAATTTCAAGTCTTGCTTCATCTTGACTTAAACTATGTATTCATTCTTCTACTTCTATGCTTTAGCATAGAGCCTAGGTTACAGTAATAATTCTAGTATTTGTTGAGTGAATAAGTGGGTAAAAGAATTTATAGGAGTAAAGAAAGTAATAACAGACAATATTGAAAATGAGAAGGTACAAATTGAGAGAATTATAATTGGATGGCTTATTTCCTCTGTGGAGTAATATGTAGGTCATCTGCTGAAGGCAAGAGAAGAAGACCACAGGAAAATGATTAGACTTAACACCAAAAAAAAAAAAAAAAATCCCCAAATAATCTGATTAAAATGAGTGGAGGACTTGAATAGACATTTTTCCAAAGAAGACATAGATGGTCACCAGACACATGAAAAGATGTTCAACGACACTCATCATCAGGAAAATGCAAATCAAAACCACAGTGAAACATCACCTTACCCCTATCAGAATGGCGAGTATCAAAATGACATGAAATAATAAGTGTTGGTAAGGATAAGGAGAAGAAAGAAAAGAACCCTTTTGCACTTTGTTTGGAGGAATGTAAATTGGTGCAGTCCTTATAGAAAACAGTATGGAGGATCCTCAAAAAATTAAAAATAGAAATACTGTATGATAGTGTTAATTCCACTACTGGGTATTTACCCAAAGAAAACAAAAACACTACAATGTTTACTGCAGTACTATATACACTAGCCAAGAATGGAAGCAGCCCAAGTATCCACTGAATGATGAATTGATAAAGATGATACGGTGATGATGGTGTGTATGTGTGTGTGTTTATATATATAATGGAATATTACTCAGCCATATACAAGAATGAGATCTTGCAATTAGAGACAACATGGAAAAACCTAGGTGGTATTATGCTAAGTAAAATAAGTCAGACAGAGAAAGACTAATACCATATGATTTCACCTATATGTGGAATCTAAAACAAAACAAAACAAAACTCAAAAAAATAGACAAAGCAGAAACAGACCCATAAACACAAAATACAAATAGGTGGTTGCCAGAAGGAGGGGGTTAGGAGGATGGGCAAAATGGGTGAAGGGGAGGTATAAGCTTCCAGTTAGAAAATGAATAAATTGCAGGAACAAAAGGTAGAGCATAGGGACTATAGTCAGTGGTATTGTAATAGTGTTGTATAGTGACAGATGGTAGCTACACTTGTGGTGAGCATAGCATAACATAGAGCTGTTGTATCACTGTGTTGTACGCATAAAACTAGTATAATATTGCATGTCAACTATACTTAAATAAACTAAATTTTAAAAAAGATAAAACTCCACTTTTAATAGAAAAAAAGAATGATTAAAGATACAGTTACTGTCATGAAATGAGAAGGGAGTTGACTGAGATACAGAGAAGTCGTGCCAGGCAGTGCAGACGAATTCAGCTGAGACTACAAATCACGCATATGTAATAGCACCTGGGTTGGTGCAGGGAAAATGTGCAAGAGAGTTTTTTTTTTTTTAATTGGCAACAGGATATTGATTAGATAAAGAATGTAAATAAACCAGGAAGGGACTCCAATTTGGAGACAATAAAGGAAACTGATGTTCTTTCCAAGCCGTTTTCTCCCAAGATAGGGGAAAATGAAGGAGCCAAGATGATAGAGTTGTGGTCAGAGAGTAGCATATTAAATTTTACAGAAGGAACAACTCTAGTGAGGACAAACCACAGGTCATAGCCCTGGATGTAAGGCGATAAAGTATAATCGAAGTAAAGGTTACTAGAGATGACAAATTTAAGGAACTGTGAGGCCAGAGGGACAAATGGCTTATCATGTGGACTTTGAGGTCACTTAGGACGATGGCAGGACACAGGAGATGACGGCCAGCCAGCTGCTAAGATCTTCAGTGGTAGATGGTAGCTGATAGCAATGTTACATGGGAACAGATGGTAGATAATGATAGATGGGTGAACGGCAGATAACTATGGTGAAGTAGGCTGGAAGGTGACAGCCAAAAGGAAATGGTCTCAAAAGACTTAAAAAAAAAAAAAAAAAGGCAGAAACACGGTTTAGATGGGACAGTGGAGAGCTGAGATTTTGCAAACCCATCTTCCACTGCCTGTGGTATCAGGAGCATAAGAGATGAATGCTCTTCCAGTCAAATTGCTTGAGGGAAACTCATTATTTGGGGGATAGAACTGGATTACAAAGAAGGCAGAAAATGCAGGGCACCTGGGTGGCTTAGTTGGATAAGTGTCCGAATCTTGATTTTAGCTCAGGTCATGATCTCACAGTTCGTGAATTCGAGTCCTGCATCAGGCTCCTCCTAATAATGCAGAGCCTGCTTGGGATTCTCTTTCCCTTTCTCTCTGCCCCTCCCCTGCTCATACCATCTCTCTCAAAATAAATAAATAAACTTAAAAACAAAAAGGCAGGCAGACAATGAAGGAGTTATAAATCCTTCATGCAAGATCATTCAACTGACACATGTGGATCCCATAACATGGCTGTCCTGGTATTAAGGACAATCAGCAAGTCACATTCACCATTATATGGTAAATGTCCTGCTATGCACTGCTATACCTCTACAGTCTTTTTGGAACAAAAAGAACCAGCCCTGTCAGGTGCAAAATCTAAGACATAATTTAACAGGTCTTAATATTTCTAAAATTCAGAAGATTATGGTTAAAACATAATGAAGCAGTCTCTGTAGGCAAACATTAGAATTCTTTCTCGTTCTGCATTCACTGGTAGGGTTGGACATAAATCTTTTTTTTTTGTTTTTTAATTTATTTTTCAGAGAGAGTGTGCATGTGCACAGAAAGGGCAGAGAGAGAGGAAGAGAAAGAATCCCAAGCAGGCTCAGCACTGTCAGTGCAGAGCCCAACATGGCGCTCGTTCCCACAAACTGTGAAATCATGACCTGAGCCAAAATTTTGAGTCCTATGCTTAATGGACTGAGCCACCCAGGCACTCCAGTATTGGACAGTAATCTTCAAACTTCTTGTTGCTCCTTCATTATTCCCTCAAATCCTTTTCTTATATGGCCTGATAGAGACCACTATTTTTCTCTGACATGTCAAAGTTAAACAAGTTGGGATTGAAATCCTTATGTGCTTAAAAACAGCTGTTTTCCATAAATGATACATATTTTTAAAATACTCTGGAAAACCTTTCCCTCCTACTATACATGGGGTAAAAGGATAAAAGGTTTTCTGTGATCTCTAGAAAGCTATTCTTTGAGATGAGCTTGAAACACCGTACTGCCCTTCCTCAGGCTGTCTGTGGTCTTCATGATGATACTAATTATTTCCTTGGCTATCATGAATCAGCTGTTTTTGTCTTTTATGACTTTTATGGGACCTTTAGAAGAGAAGTATGCTTACCTGACCCACTCTTGTTAGTTCAGGACAGGCTTCTTAGAGTAGTAAGTGATCACGCTGGGACCTGAAGCAACAGAAAGCATGCACATTCAGGAGACTGGAGACTGAAAGGAGTTTAGTGTGCTTGGACCTTGGAGGACACAGTAAGGAATGAAAAAAAACTGGAGATATGAGTAGGAGCTTCATAAGCCATAGTAGGAATATAGTTTGCATAATCCCCTGAAGGAATGGCAGAGGGATCAGCAGGAGCTTCTACTGATTTCCTCTTCTTCCATTCAGTGGCTATTGTGGACTATGAAGCTCAGAGAGAGAGAGAGAGAGAGTACAGTTTTACCTACATAGCTCTGCACCCACATGCACATGCATACCCAATCCACTCACTCTCCCAAGCTTCAAGACACCTAAGTCTTCTATCATTATTAGGGAAGAAATAAAGAACTGAGTCTGCCATCAGCTGGGAGGTCCAATTATATCATCTGTAGGAGAGGTCTGTAGGGAACTTGGTTTATAGGTTCTGTATAATCTGTCCTTGGTGGGGTCCAGGTATGTGATAAGAATTGAGAAGCTACACAGTTGGGAAGCTGGAGAAGGAAAAGTATAATGTTAAAAATTTGATTTAGTCATTTAAAAAATACAGTGATGCCTATCTATAGACAATAGGGACTCTTTTAATTGACTTTCAATTAGGATACTGACACTGATAAATGGAAGACGGAAAAGTTTATGTTCATTCTGTTAGTAGGTTGCCCTGAGTCCAAGTGCTATTTGCTTACCTGATGCTATTTTGCTCCTCCTGGAAAGCTCAGTGTGGCCAGGAGACAAGACCATGTTCAGAAGGCAATGTTAGATGAACAACTGTAAGAAGCCATTCCTTGTTTTCTTCCTGCCCACCCTCCTAACTGAGTCAGACACTTTTATTTCAGCCATGAGATTACAGAGTAGACAAATGTATTCTAGAGGGAGCTTTATGGCATTATATTATTGTTCACAGGCAAATTCAAGTCATACCCAATCCCAATAGTCACCAGTGCAAGTCACTAAATACTTAAACAACTTTTGGGTGACTTTCAAATAAATAGCAGAAAGACAAGGATTTTATTTACAAAGTTAAAGTGGTTTGAACCTGAGATATATCTAAAAGTTTATTATTACTGTTGGAATTTCTTTCTCAGAGAATGAGGAGAGAAAGAAGATTTACTGAGGACTTGATGACTACCAGTTGCTCGGGTGTGTGTTTTATATAATTTGCTCAGACAACCCCATGTATTAGGTATTATTATTATTATCTTCATTTATAAATGAGGAAACTGAGGCTTAAACAGATTGAGTACTCTCATCAAGGTCCTTTATAGTATTGGGTATTATAGGCAGTACCGAAATCCAAATCATTTTGTCTCTAAAATATATCTTTATTTTACTGTACCATATTTCTATTCCAGTGACCACGTACATCTATTTTTCTAATCTACAAAGATATATCAGATCCATCATTCATGGCCTTCTAAATTCTCAAATGACCATAAATAGTGAATTACCTGAGAGACTAGTCCTTGGCTTTAGAGTAACCATGAAGTTTTCTACTGTTCTCAAGTTGAAAGTATCCCAAATGATGAGGTTTTCAGTACCTTTGACAAAAGGGAGAAAAACAAAGTTGAGGTAATCAACTTTTTTTTTTTTCATAAAGCTAGTTACAAATGTAAAAGACTTCTAGTACTCTAAAATTACAATCTCTCTCCCTCAACACCCACTCTTCCTCTTTTGGTCTCTGTGTTCTGATGTCTTTCTCTCTTTTAATGAAATAATGGAACTAGTAGAAGTTAGTTTGCTTTTTAACATGCTTACTTGATCAATTAATAAGTGGGCAAGTCCACTGAAAGAGTGTATCCAATGAATATAATCAAAATTAAAAACTTAGTTCTGTTCCCCAATTTCCTGTTTAAATGTGTTAGTTATGTCCTTCCTCTAACTGTGAGTGAAATTTTGGGCATGCTCTGTAGCTTCTCTATTGACCTTTAGTTAATAAGAGGCTCTCTGGTCACATTCACCCACAATAATAGTCTCTTTTTAGTATGTAGTAAGTTCAGGTTAGTTAATAATCAAAACTCTGATCTTCATAGTAAGTTAATGTGTTTCCTCCACCAGTTCAGTCCTGCTCCAGACTGAAAGCCTACAGTGGGGAAAGGGAGAAAATCGTGACCTCCTTGTTTTTTTACCTTTTTAGCTGTCCTCCATGGTGTCGTCCTAAAACATATTGAGTTTTAGCTTCTGATTGCACCAGGATTGGGGATGAGAGGGAATAAAATAAAGGAATGGTTTTAATTAATGGCATAGCTGACATCTAGCTTTTGTTTTCTCTGCCCATGGCAGATGTTTGAAACTAATTCTTTCTCTTATGCAAGTTTTCATGTAATCTAGCTACATTACTACCTCTTAAAAATTTTCTTGGTGGCCTATCACCATTCAAGACCAAAACAAAAATCTAGTGAGTACCTACTCTGTGTCATGCACTGTACCAGGATATTTACCAACCCAAAAGCACAATGCAAAAGAACATATTAGTAAAATAAATAAATCTTCAGTCTCAATATCATATTAAGTTTAACTTTTTATTTATATTTGGTCATAAAGTCTTACTTTACAAGGTAATTGCTATTGTAAAAAAGGGATAGGTCATTAATAATCTCATTTCCCAGATGTTATTTGATACATATTTTAAGTTATGTTACCTTCAGTGCACTTTGAACTTATAAGCAGAAAACCTATTTTCAAAGAGTCTGTATTCTAGTTCTTGAAGTAAATCTGCTCATAGATTGTACTTTAAGATGGAGTAGGTATTGTTTATCATGTTTTACAGTTGACTCCTGAGCAACATGGGCATCAGGGGCACCAATCACCCTCATGCAGTCAAAAATTCTTGTGTAACCTTAGATTCCTCAAAATTTAAGCATTAATAGTCTACTGTTGGCTGGAAGTCTTACTGACAACATAAACAGTCAATTAACTCATATTTTGTATGTCGCATGTGCTATATACTGTATTCTTACACAATTCTTATTTCTCTAATAAGCTAGAGAAAATACTTTAAAAATTGTAAGGAAGAGAAAATACATGTATAATACTGTGTTGTATTTATTGAAAAAATCCTTATATTAATACTGTGTTGTATTTATTGAAAAAATCCTTATATAAGTGGATCTGTATAGTTTAAACTCATGTTGTTCAAGGGTCAACTATAATTCAGTTGAATTTCAGGAGAGGAAGTAAGAAATGTATAGAAAGATAAACTATGATGGCTTGCCATTAGTGTAGTTAGGTGACCTTTTAAACTTTAAACTTCCACATCACAGTATGAAGTTGGTTCTGAGATAAGAAATAGAATAAATTGTCTCCTAAGGACAGACCTGAATCTCTGATTGCCTAGAGGCTGACTCAACAGGAGATCATGGCTTTTGATGGGACTTGGAAGATAGACCGGAATGAGAACTATGACAAGTTCATGGAAAAAATGGGTAAGGACTTAATTCTTTAGTGGCTTGTTATTTTGTTCCTCACAGATACTTTCCTTTCTAATTCTTTCTAAGCCTCAGGGTTTAGGGAATGGCTTTTATTCTGGTGGTGAGGATCCAGAATGTATGATGGTTCAGAGTAGGGAAAACAATATCCTCACTTCTTATATTAGGAAGACTATATTCTCTCACTAGTAAAAGCAAAGAGTTCCCTGAAACAAAGTGATTCAGGTGTGTTTCATCCACTCTTTAACTACTGATTGTGCCTATATCATTGAAAACTGATATATTTTTTTTCTTTTTGCATAGAGAATAAGAAAGGGCAGCATGTAATGAAAACTTCAAAACTTTGAAACACTGAATTCTAGAAAATAGATAAACAAAGATCATATAGTAAAGCAATGGGGAAAAAAGTTCTATCAAAACTCACAGTTCTAAATAAGTTAGACTTAATTCTCATTTCCTCTGACATGTAAAATTTGTGGGAATAATCTCATGATTCCATGTGGTTTATGTGTGGGTTTTAGCTAACTTTAATATCTATTCCAATACTCTGGCAGCCCATACACTGCACAAGATATACAAACAAATTTGATTCATTCCTCAAAAATAAAATCTGCATCTATTATATCCTATAGTTCCAGAATTCCATGTTGAAATTTATAGAATTTGCACATTCTTAAACTAATGAATTTGACTGTAATATTTGCCAATTTTTTCATTTTTTGTGGCAGTCAGAAATGCTACAAAAAGCAAAAAGAATTATGAAGTTCAAAATTTAAAAGCCATTATGGAAAGTGAAAAAACATTTTTAAAATGCTGTTTATGCAGAATTAAAGTTCTTTATAAATATATGAACATATTTAATGTTTCATTTGACATTTCTGGAATTTAGTTTCCTTAACACTAAAGCAAAGTTTGATAACTGTATTAAAATTATTCAGTTCTAAGATTCTACAATTCTAGTTTTCATTTAATTTTTCTTAAGTTTTAGAAAACTTGAATCACTACATTTGATCTAAGCTTGAACCTTTCCTGCAAGAGGCATTTTGAATGTTCTTGTGCAAAGGCAATGCTATCAGGCTTTCCTGCCTCAAAATGTACATAAACAAATAAATAAAACAGAACTTGTTGAAATGAACACTTTCTATGGCATTTTGACTTCTTCCCAACATCTTTTGCTTTGCAGGTATTAATGTGGTGAAAAGGAAGCTTGCAGCTCATGACAATTTGAAACTGACAATTACACAAGAAGGAAATAAATTCACGGTCAAGGAATCAAGCAATTTCCGTAGCATTGAAATTGTTTTTGAGCTTGGTGTCACTTTTAATTACAGCCTAGCTGATGGAACTGAACTCACTGTAAGAAACTTTTTATAAGCAATGTGTTCTTGATTTTTCTACACAATACTGAAATAATCTACTTTCTGTCATTGGATGGTTTTATTTAAGTCTCCTTCATTTATTGAAGCAGCCAATAGTTTATCCACATTATATCTTGCACAAATTTGCAGAATATTTAAATGTAACATTTTTATTTTCATACACATTTGTAAATAGTCTGGATAGAACAATAAGAATTAGAAAAACATCCTTCAGATGATTTGTTATTCATAAAGAAAACTAAAGCTCAGTGTTTTCAACTTATTATATACCTGATAGCAATAAAAAACCTTTAGATTTATGTAACTTAAATATAATAGTAATTTAATAAGTATACCAAAATAATAAAATAAATGAATAAATTAGTAAATGGATGAATGACAAAATGGAAAAGTCTAATGCTACACTGTAGGTCATTGGGAATATACCTTTTAATGTTTAAGATTAAAAATTTTAGGGAATCATATTTTCAACTGATTTTTTACAAACATTTTTGTCCTCAGGATTTTCTAGTTAAATTATATGTTTGTAATGACAAATTGTCAAATATTTTATCAGTTGCAATCATTTTTATTTATTATTTATTGTTTATTTCTTAAAGGTTTTATTTTTAAATAATCTCTACACCCAACTTGGACCTCGAACCCACAACCCAAGATCAAGAGTTGCATGCTCCATGGACTGAGGCAGCCAGGCACCCCTTGTGGCCAGTTTTAAATTATTGCAATTATAAAATTAAAACAAACACAGGGTTGTGAGGATCTCCATGAAACTAACTTGAAATATGACTAAATTTAGGACACTCTTTGTAACATGAAAGATTTAAAAAAGAAAACTGCTGCTCAGCTACCTTAAAACTTAGCATTTGGAAACACCTGAGTGAGACAAGCATAATGGTTACCAGCACATACTCTAGAGCTCCAGAAACCTATCCTGAATCCTGGCTCTGTGAGTTTAGGTGAAGTACTATGCCTTGGTTTTCTCAACCATAAAATGGAGATAATAATATCTACTTCATAAGGTCATTGTAAAGACTGAAAGAGTAGATATATAATATTCAGAACAGAGGCACCTGGGTTTCTCAGTAGGTGAGGCATCCAACTCTTGATTTGAGCTCAGGTCATGATCTCACTGTTTATGAGTTTGAGTCCTGTGCTGTCAGCATAGAGCCTATTTGGGATTCTCTGCATCTCCCTCTATCTCAAAAATAAACAAACATTTAAAAATAAACAAAAAATGCCCAGAAAAACCTACCTTAGAACAGTGTCTGACATATTTAAGACCCTAAAAAATATTATTTGTTGTTATTACAATGTAAAAATTATTTTTTATATTATTATTATCATCATTTTACATATGTAGGGTGCTTGGAACCTAGAGGGAAATAAACTTGTTGGAAAATTCAAGCGTATAGACAATGGATGTGAACTGAATACTGTCCGAGAAATTATAGGTGGTGAACTGGCCCAGGTGAGTTGTAAAAATATTTCTTGAAGACAAAAATAATTACATAACAATAATTTTATATTTGTGATTGCTGAGTTGTAGCTTCAACAAATAAACTATTACTTTTCTCATAAATCTTTCTTATTTTAAAGACATAGATATTTTCTGATGCCTATTTATTGAAGAGAGCTTATATATATGTCAAATATATCAATAACTATTTTAACTAAAAATGTAAGTGACTAAAAACCAAAAAAATGTGTTTTTAAGTGGGTATATCCTATAT